GCCTGGGATTGAACCCCGGACCATGTTCGTGGTTGGCGAGCGTCCTAACCGCTATGCCACCGACGCAGCCATGGCAAACTACATAATATATATATATATATATATATTCACTTTAACAAACTACTTTCCCCTCCCCCTTGTAACTATCATTTGACTTTGTTATTTTCACACTTCTACCTAATTCTATTAACTTGTTTGTATCTTGTGTAATTCCACTGAGTCATCCGTACTATTCTTCTTGGTCGTGATTATTTTACTATAAACCTCCTGACTCCATTACTGCAAAAGATCTGGAAAGAGGGAAAGGTGCCTACTGACTGGAGGAAAGGTTACCTGGTGAAACTACCAAAGAAGGGTGACTTAGGACTCTGCAAGAACTGGCGAGGAATCATGCTCCTGTCGACGCCAAGTAAAATCTTGAGTCGCATCATCCTGGAGAGAATAAAGGACGCACTGGATACAGAACTCCGACCAGAACAAGCTGGATTCAGGAAAGGCAAATCATGTTCTGACCAAATTGCAACTCTACGCATCATCATCACAGAACAAAGCATCGAATGGCAATCAAATCTCTACCTCAACTTTAAAGACTTTGAAAAGGCCCTCGACAGTGTTGACCGCAAAGTAATTTGGAAACTACTCGAGTACTACGGCGTACCCCAAATATTCATCAACCTTATTCAACAACTGTACGACAACGGCACATGTCAAGTGATCCACAACGGAAAACTCAGCGAAGCGTTTGGAGTAAACACAGGAGTCAGACAAGGGTGCTTATTATCACCAATGATATTCCTAATTGTGGTGGACTGGATTATGCGTCAGACAGAGGGAAACGAGAAGACAGGGATATCCTGGACCGACGTGAAGAACCTAGAAGACCTGGATTTCGCGCGTGGATGATTTATGTTTGATGTCACACAAAATCGAAGACTTACAAGCAAAAACCGACAAACTGGTCGAAGAAGCAGCAAAGACAGGACGCCAAGTGAACATAGACAAGACCGAGGTTATGAAAATAACCAACCAACAACAGCAGCAACATCCAGTGCCAATCACCATCAACAGGAGGGATTTGAAAGAGGTTACTTCTTTCACTTATCTAGGGAGCATTGTCTCAACTACAGGAGGAACGGACGAGGATGTCAAATCGAGAATCGGGAAGGCGAGAAACACATTCATCAACCTGAAACCAATCTGGAAATCTTCGTCACTCAGCCTGCATCAACAACAAAATTCAGATTTTCAATACAAACGTGAAATCAATTTTGCTTTACGGATCAGAAACTTGGCGGGTCACCAAGAATATTTTCAAAAGGTTGCAGACCTTTATCAACAACTGTCTTCGCTCCATACTGAAGATTAGATGGCCGGGAAGAATCACAAACAAGAAGCTATGGGAACAAACAAAACAGGAACCAATCGCCCAATCAATATGCAGGAGGAAGTGGAGATGGATTGGACACTCGCTGAGGAGGCCGTTGGGTGACATTGCGCGTCAGGCCAGTGCTCGAGTGGAACCCGAAAGGGAAGCGGTGAGTGGGACGTCCAAGGGTGACATGGAGGAGATCGTGTGAGGAGGAGTTGAAACAGTATGGACTAACATGGACGCAAGTGAAAAGAACAGCAGAAGACAGAAGCAAGTGGAGACGTGCAGTTGAAGCCCTATGTTCCACTAGGAACCCAAGGGAACAATAATAATAATAAACCTCCTGATTGCGCAACAGTTTATTTCACTAACCACTACGAATTTACTGTGCTTCAATTTCGTGATTAATTAATTATCTTCACGTCTCCTTCACAACTTGGGTATCTTGTTTGTGACATTTGCTATTTGACTGGTTTGAAGATTTTGTATCTCTCTTAATTTCTTTCTACCCCTCTCCGTTTTAAATAAAACTGATAATTCTTATTGATCAAAATAACCACATGATGACTGGTACAATTTTGATGCAAAAATTACTACATATAAGTGTGGAGACGTTGATGAGGGAGTAATTGAAAACAAAACCTACTTTTTCGATCAACGTTTTGCTTTCTTGTAAATGTGTAAATGGGAATTTCCGTTAATTTCCGAAAATACCCACTGAGCTATGAAGAAAATAAAAGACAATTTAGGGAAGAAAATCTCCTCTACGGATGAAATCACTTTCAGAGGCTGTACAGTCGTATTTATATTTACAAAAAATGTATAGTAGTCTATTATAGATTAATGGGGCTTGATATAACTGATATAATTACTCAGAAGTGGTATTCTTCTCAGTCAATAACAATATTAACCTTATGAAGTTTCTAACCCTCTCTTCCTTTGTGACATTGAGCACCACACGAATTTTACAACTTTTAGTTTTACTTCTAAAGCCACTTCTGAGTAATTATATCAATTATGTCAACCCCTGTTAGTCAATAATAGACTACTATACATTTTGGTAAATATAAATTCGCCTCCTGTATAGCCTCTGAAGATGATTTCGTCAATAAAGGAGGTTTTCTTCGCTAAATTGTCTTTTCTTTTCGTAAATTCCCTCATCTGTTTAGGAGACCACATTCGTTATATGCACACGTATATCTTCTGCTTTTTTTCATTGTTCACTTCTCCTAATTCCTTTTGCTGATTTATGTAATGACTAGTTAATGTATGCCAACATTTTCTAAAATACCTCAGTTATATATAATAATTCAAAACAATTAATCTATAGTTAGAGAGAAAGAGAGAGGGAGTCTATGACAGAAAGCTTTCATTTCGAAGTTTGAAAAAGGCGAAACATACCTGACCTAGTGTATATATTATTCCGAGTAAAAGAAGGCGATTGCTTAAAAATGCTGTCAATCTACGGGGGAGTGATTAAGGTAGTAGTTCACAAATTACTTTCCACTGTGTGAACACCAAGTGCAGTGGAATGGAGGAGTTCTACAATTCAGTGATGAAAATAAACAGTAAGTCGACAGGAATCTCCAATTCTAATTATGCGATCGTAAGTTGGACAGTTTATCCCTTGGCATGTAAGTTTTATATGCACAATCCAGACTAAAAATGATCCTGAATACCAAAGGACTGATGCCAGTGATTTCGACGATTCGTGACTGAGACCTGTTCATAACAGTGAAAGCATAAAAAAAAGTATTTACACATTTGATACACCTAACTTCATAGTTGCGGATAATTAAAGATTTCTGATGGCCTACTATGATTTTGTAAGCACCTTAGCATATAATTACCATCAGTGTCGCTGTGAAAACGCTAGGTAACTTAACATTAATAGTTTTTGAGGAAAAGAGGAAAACACGGGGAGGTTGTAAGATTCTGCTGGTGAGTTGCGGCTTTAATAGACAGACTGATGCCAACCAAAAAGACGGAATGACTCATTCCATTTTGATTAGCCAATGAACCAATGAATTAACATATTTAAATATATATTCAGATAATTATAGTCACTGATCTTTTTATCTTAAGCATACTCACGCCTAAAATATGGTTAGGATACGTTGGTGATACTTTCGTAGTGCTAGAACGAGATCAACACAATACATTCTTGGAGAAACTGAACAATCTATCTCCCAGCATCTAGTTTACCTCGGAAGCAGAATGAGACATCGATGAACTACGGTTTCTAGACTGCCTAGTTATGAGGAGGGAAAATGGACATTTTAGTATATGTATCAACAGGAAGAAAATCCACTCCAACAAATATTTAAACTTCGGATCATCACAACCCATTAGCGCAAAGGTATCAGTTGCTTTAAGTCTTCTTAGACGAGCACACTTTGATGTTAACGGATGAGAAAGAAAAAGAAGAACAAATATCAAACATTACTGAGACGCTCAAGCAAAATAACTATCCAAAGAAATTCATCAGCAAAATCAACACTGGCATTAAATATGGTCGAAAACGTGTTCCGAAGACATGGGTCTCAACAGCTGTCATTCCATATAGATCAGAGGCGTCAGACGATGACAGAAGAGTACTCAATAAGCTCGACATCAGAGTTTTCTTCAAAACATCAGACACAATGCGAAGCAACCTTGTCCATATAAAAGACCAAATCCCTAAAGATTCTCTATCTATCTAATTGTGTCTATAAAATAAAATGCTTGGAATGTGATGCGATATACATCGGACAAACATCTCCAGTGAGAAATCAAAATCAGAAGAAATGAACACTGTGGAGCATCTATTCGACCACCGAGACATACAGCTGAACTAGGAAAGCTTGAAAAATCATCAGCCATAGATCTACACGCTGTAGAATCAGGCCACAAAAATGATTTTGACAATATTGAAATCATCATCCAGAAAAAGCATTTCAGAAATCACGAAGAACGTCTAATATCATCAGGAGCACTTCAAATCAAATGAAATCCAAATTGTCTGAACAGGAATGATGGACTAAAACCGAATTTGACCTGGCTACAACCTTCTCCTACCCCATGAAATGACAAAAAGGAACACGAATATGATAAGTAATTTCATTATGTGAACACAAGGTGCTTTTAAAATTTTGTACACTTATCAAATCCAACAAACTACACCTGGTTTTGTTATCTGTACCAGTTGGTCAACTTGAGAACGGAAAAATGCCCCCATGCTGAGGAACGATGATTAAGTTTATATATATACAAGCTGAGATTTTGTAAATTCTTCTGGTTTAATAATACTAATTTGATAAAGCTATTAGCATTAAATAGCGAAACGTCAGTAAAAATAATATATCGTTTTGTTTTTCATTCATTTGGAAATACAAAGAACCTTTATTATAATGACTTATGATACGTGTTCTATATTGTCGATAAAGGAGACTTCCGATATGTATGAATCCTTGGATAGAAACTGAACGGTAAGTTTATAACAGATACAACGAAAACGACGGTACACATAAGCTATGTGATATCTTTACGCTTTCCTTAATCACAGTTTTCTTAAGGTAGGCATTTCCGTCTTTCTTAAAGATTATATATATTAATAAAACTTACTAGGTAGGTACCGAAATAAATAAATGAACTCCGCATCAGCCATTCAGCGGTAGAATGTTCGCTAGCCAATCATCTGGTATGGAGTTCGATTCCCTGCCAACGCACTTCTAGACTTCACCTAGCCGGTGGCAAACCCTGAAAAGTGAGAAGGTTGGATGTTTAACCAGCCACCCAACCCCTTGAAAAACAACACCACCACCACTAGTGAAAATTCAAGGCTTCAAACGCGAAGTTCTACGTGCCTATGTTCTTCTTGGAAGTGAAAAGAATTACAGATGAACTTCTCCGATTCTCTGTTATAAATAAGTAAGTATTCATGGCGACCGCATATATCTGATGCTCTGAACACGCACTAACAACAACAACAACAAGAACAACAATCAACCAACCCAGAGTTCAGACAAAAGGCAGATGAAAGAATACAACACAACACAGACACACACGCAAAAGATATTAACATTTATAATGGTTTATTAAATAAATGATGAAGGCTAACAGACACACAAAATGAAAACTACTTCTCCATTTCAGTGATGATAATAATAATACATCTCAGATTTTTAGAAACAAAACAAAAAAATCCACACGCTCACATCAATCTGAAATGTAAGCGTGTAAAAATCATGTAAAAAAAAAGAGTAAACCAGGGGTGGGTTGGGGGGTGCATAGTAGACTGCACCTGTTTTTATTCCACATAGATTATAAGTAGTAGTAGTAGTACTAGTAACATCTCTCATGTGATAGTAATTTAGTAATTTAAAACACATAAATGTTCAATGGTTCATTTGAAGAGAGAATTATCGAGAAAGATGAATCAAAATATAATAAAAGTAATCATAGTAATTATAATAATAATAATTATTATTATTACGTTTATTATCTGGAGCGAAATTTCAGGAACTGGCAGCAAATGCAAAGTCTTTAGAAAATAAAGCATTTCCACCGCATATATTTCTAAGGGGGGCTTTGTTTAAATCAAAAAAAATATCAATGCTTCAGTAGACCTGTTAGTCAGCAAAAGCCTCTGTCTCGCTGTGTTTGTGTATTTGTAGGACTTGTTTTTTTAACTAAGGTTATTTTTCTTCGAAAAATTAAACTGTAAAACTTACTTTGCTCAGTAATATAGATGTTTCAGGGAGTAGTGATGAATTTTCACTTACAGTATTATTTATAAACGACGACAGCTTTCATTCCGGGTTCAGGAGGTGGTGCGGCTTGTTTTGCATGCGTTTCACAGTACAACTGTTCTTTAATATAAAAATAGCCAATATTTCTTAGGCCTATTCCACATTTACAGCATTTCAAGCATTCAGGATGCATTGGAACACGACCTTGTACTTTGACGAATACACCACGGATAAAACCTCCACAAGAACCACAATACATTGATGGTGGTGTCGATGGCGATATTTCAGGTGTTTGACCTGTTGGCTGATTTCCTGTTCCACTGGCATTGGACAATGTCCTTTCGAATGTCTGGTTTCTATTTTTTTGATTGTATAAGCCCATCGGTGAGTTGTACGACGAATGACTGATTTTACGATAACGTCCATCGCCAACTTTTGCGATTAAATTTTCACCTGGAGCTGGTGGTGACTGTCCAAAAGGCAGAGGAGAGACATTGTGCTTAACTCCAATCGATAAATCTGTGTTATCTGGTGTAGCTTCTAGACTTGTGTGTGTTGCAAAGACTGACTGACCATTATTATAATTATTATTATTTGTAGTGGGTGACGACATTTGCACAGATGAAACAACTTTTGGCTTCCATATAGTCTGTCGGTTAACTGGTTGTGGCGAAACTGGTTTCGGTGATCTGGTTATAGAATGAACTGGTGATGAGTTATAGCTATTGGAATTAACAAATGAATTTATGAATTCACCACGTTGAACAAACAATTCTAAGTCATTGTTTGATCGTATAATCTCCATTTTAGCGTCATTATGACGCATCCATTTAGTTTCAGACTGGTTTATGCGGATCACTTGATCACCAGTTCTAAGCCCACTGTAATCAGCAATACTCCCAGGATTCACATGTTGTATATTAATAGGATGACCAAAATCTGTCCCACCTTCAAGTCGAAATCCCCATGGAACTGATGTATCCTCACGAATTAAACGAATTGAGTAGAGTTGAGAAGCCATATGAGATGCTTGTAAATTTGATGCCTAGTGAAACATAGGATTGCAATTCATAAGTACGCTCTGTTATCCCCTGAAAAATGTAGTTTCTAGCACATCTGAGAAAAAGTATATATATATATATATGTTTATAGAGGGAATTCCAAATAATCGAGCTTATCATAAATGAAATGTGTGCAGCTAACCTTGAATTGGTTCTCTAAGCTTTATCCTATTGGCTAAAATACAGATATTGGGAACAATAGGCTGTTTTAATGCTTATTTGCACACAAAACATATCAGAAATTATATTTTAAAATACTGTTGGTTTCTAACACCCTGTATTTTCTACACCTCATTGATTTTCTAGTAGAAACCTTGTGAATTTATGTTGATAGATGAAATATTTGCATTTCATTGGTTGGTTGGGTGGATGATTGTGGATGTGGTTGTTGGAGGATAACATACAACGATTAAATAACTAATCATATAGACAAATAAATAACGGGGTGTGAAAACACACAGTTACAGTCCTTACACACACATCACATTCAGTAATCTGAAGTCTGTGTGATAAATAATGCAGGCAATAAATAGTTTTAAAGTTGCACAGTTCAACTATAACGGCGTTGTAGTCACAGTGATCTGTATCGCAGACATTGTGTGTAAAATACTGAAGTCAAATTGGGACACAAGAGGGAAACTATAGTTCTGGAGAAGCAATATTATCCGGATGATGATGATGACTTGTAGTGGGATATAGGATGTACTTTTCGTTCTACAACCGGATGTAGAATTCGTCTCCCCACCAGTGGTTAATAGATCCGAACACAGAATCCACCCTTACAAAAACCAAAACCTAATTCACTAGGTCATTTGACCCTGAAGACAGCTACTTATATGAAATATATCAGCTGTTATCTGTTGAAGCGGACAATGTCAGCAGAGAATTAGGATTCTTTTGCATAAAATTGCGCAAGAGAAAACTTATAAGTCGCGACAAGCTGGTCATAAACAGTCCCTCCTAGACTAAGGCATTGTAAGCTTTTGAGAGTCGTTAATTAACTCCGAAGAAACCTGTGATTCTCGTGAGACTGAAGACTATTGTCATAGATTATTTGGTTCACTGTACCTAACTTAATTAATAGGATTTATTGCCAAGTTTATGGATTTTAGTCAACGTTTAAGCCAGACGGGTGAACTGGTTGAAAGAAGCAACAAGTGACTGAATAATCAAGAAAGATTGTATGAAATGGGATAGTCAATGGTAGACGCATACGCAGATGATGCATGCAGGACAGGTAGTGGTTTTTCAGCAACTGAGGGTTGGTTCCTATGACAATTATTATTTATATTATAATTCGCTTGAGTTCCGAATGAACCATAAGGCCTCAACAGAACATTTCACTTCATCCTCTTCGCCTAAGTGGTATTTAGCTGTCTCCACAATCGCTCATAAGGAATCATCATCTCCTCACACTATATCCTCCGTATAACCCTTCGACAGATGTCAACTAGTCACTTCCCGTTTTGGTTCCACACCAGACTTAGCCTGGTGAGCGTTGTCACCCAACGCTCTCTTCAGCATGTATCCTATCCGTCTTCAGTTTCTTCGGAATATTTATTGAGCAATTGATTCTTGGTTTGTTCGTTCTCAGAGTCCCTTGTTGCTTACTCTGTTCACATGTCATCTGATCTTCAGTACGGAACCAGCGAAGAGGGCAGTTGTTGATAAAGGTCTTCAGCTGACTGTTAGAAATCCTTCTCGTGACTCAAACTCCAAATTTTTATTCCATAAATAACTGACAGAAATAAAAGTGGTGTTTAAAATTCGAAAATTTTTCTATTTACGCTGAGTGAAGCTGCCTGCCAAACTGATTTCAGAGTGTGACGAAGGTCTCTATTCCCTTTCCGATTCTGGTTTTCACATCTCTATCTGTGCCGACTGCCTTTAGTTGAAACGACGCTGCCTATGATGCTCCTAGGAATGGCATTGATAATAAAAAATTGGAGATTTAATGCGTCTGTGACCCGCTGTTAAAATGCTTACCAACCACTCACGTGGTCCTAGTTCGATCCCCGACCAACACACTCCTGAAACCCGGTCTAGCCGACAGTAATTCCTAAGAAGACAGAATATTCGGTTTGATACTGGCAACCATATCTCGTGCAAAGTAACACCGTCGCTCGAAGCTGGAATCCGAAGAATGAGGAAAAAGCGACTAGACTTGCATAGGGTGAATAGTAAAAGATACCAGATAGGAGGGGAGTTAATTGACTTGTTGTGTATCATCTTTCGACTTCATAAAAGTTGTTTCCTCTTCAGAGCAGTTACAAATGTTCACTAATTTCTAGAATGTTCTATAATCCCGTTAAACAAAAAACAAGACTGCAATTCGTGGGATAACAGAAATTAGGTTATAAGTATATATGCAGACTATTCTGCAATTATTAAAATCAACAGAATATTTCCTTTTTTCGTCTGACTAACTGTCATCAAATACTCAAGTATTGATCTGTAGGGATTTGACTGATTTATTATAGGATTTCATCATGAGCTGAGGTCAGTTAGAGAACCATTGGAAAACCTGAGAGTACTGGAAACCCGTTTCGTTCCAGTTTAAGACTCTTCATCAGTACGCACGCACCCACTGCAAGGGCTCGAGCCCAGGACCTTCTGGTTACAAGGCAAGCTCGTAGAACATTAAGATACTTGAACCCGATCCACGGGCTCATGAATCCAAACTTCTGTCAATTCACGATATAGCGCGACCACTAGTCAATATTTACGGCGAGTATTTGTCCCCACTACCGACCTGCATCCTACGCACATCAGTCTCTGTTTATGCAAACGAGTAAAATTATCCCTGGAACAAGTGTAAGTATTATTTATTCCTGAAGTTTCGATAGGGAAAGAAAGACCAGATTTGAAGTACAAAATGATATCGTCATTCTATTTCACAGGTTCTCATCAGCTCCAGACTACCTGAAATTACAATGGTTATATAGATGATAATAACATACTTTAATGTTTAAGTGGTTGTAGAGAAAAAAATACCATAAAATTGACGCATCCAAAATGTAAGCATTACACTTTTTTAGTTTAGGTTTTCATAATCAATTTATACGCTTTTAAAGTAGAAAAGAGGGGGAAGGCGTGAGACAGAAAACATAAAAAATTAACAAACAGTCTTAGCTTGTAGGTTCACATAGCAATTCAAAAAAGCGGTTACAGTTTATAAGATTGAGATTTTTTGCTCAGTGAGTTGAGATAACTGAACTAGATGACTAATTAATGTAATCAAAATTCAGTTACCGAGGGAGTGAGAGATTAATCACACTCTCTTTCTGTATGCATAAGTCTGGTTTAAATCTGTCCCCAAGATGCACATAAACCGCATAGATACAGAAACGCAGTTTGAATGCTTATAGCATCAACCTTCTGACCTGCAACCTGTCGACAAAGACGAAAGCGGATGGCTGAAGTCCAAACTGGTTGATAAAGCCAACCAATACCGTAAATTACCATCCGAAAAACAGAAAGTGCTTACTGAGGAGCATAGAGCGGCACTGAAAAGACAGCGTTTCTGTATCTATGCTGTTTATGTGCATCTTGGGGACAGATTTAAACCAGACTTATGCATACAGAAAGAGAGTGTGATTAATCTCTCACTACCTTGGTAACTGAATTTTGATTTTGATTACATTAATTAGTCATCTAGTTCAATTATCTCAACTCACTGAGCGAAAAATCTCAATCTTATAAACTGTAACCGCTTTTTTTAATTGCTATGTGAACCTACAAGCTAACACTGTTTGTTAATTTTTTATGTTTTCTGTCTAACGTTTTCCCCCTCTTTTCTACTTTAAAAGCGTATAAATTGATTATGAAAACCTAAACTAAAAAAGTGTAATGCTTACATTTTGGATGCGTCAATTTTATGGTAATTTTTTCTCTACAACCACTTAAACATTAGAGTATGTTATTATCATTTATATAACCATTGTAATTTCAGGTAGTCTGGAGCTGATGAGAACCTGTGAAATAGAATGATATCATTTTATACTTCAAATCTGGTCTTTCTTTCCCTATCGAAGTTTAACAAGGGAACCAAATGTATGGAATTCCTGAAGTTCTCTTAGTAGACCAGTATATCACCTGAAGGTCGTAATTTTTGACGATCAATATTATCATTGATTATTTCTTACGGCACATATGAGGATGTCAAAGCTGGTTAGCATTGGAAAGGCAAGACATACCTTCATCACTGTGAAATCAGCTTGGAAATATTCTGCACTCACCATAGAGAATAAAAGTTGGTTTTTCAACACCAATGTTAAGGCAGTCAGCGGTTCTTTGTGGGTCAGAAACTCGGCATTTCCGACAGACTACTGCATACTTTCACCAGCGTCTGCCTTCTCTTGATCCATGCTGAAGATTATGTGACCATTAGAAAGAATTATCAAAAAGAAACCATGAAAACCAACCAACCAAGAACCTAGTTATCAACAAATATTCCTAAATAGATGGAGATGGATCGGAAACATACTGAGGAGATCATTGTTTAACATCGCGCACCAGGCCATTGTTCGAGGGAAACCTGAACAGAAGACTAGTCGGAGCAGTAACATGGAGGGGAGGGTATGAGAGTCCATGGGCAATCGTCGGGCATGAGTTCCTTCGAGGTTACAGATACGCGTTACTGATGGGTGCCACTAGCACGAAACCAGGTCAACCAAGGCTTCCTGCCGATTGCCACCAACTATCTAATACCAACAGTTTACAGTGCACCATGATGGCCACATTGAAAACTTCACTGAGAGAATTCAGTCTGCACCAAAGATAGGACTACATACACATTAAACTAGTTACCGACTAGTGTCCAATTAAAAATAATGTATAATATTCCTTGCGTTCCACTTGGAATCTGTGAATTCATCATCACACCTCTATTATTTGAGATCATTTATCCTGGTTTTACCAATACACATCAGCCTTCACTTCCTCCTCATAATATCTGCTACATGTCAACTTCTGATGTCCAACCCACCACTGTGTACGCCAGTGATAGCCCAGCGCATCCTATATATTTGTTGGCTTTTGCCACAGTCCCTTATTACATATCATTTCCAGCCGGTCAGCCAGTCAGCCA